TCGCGTATCCGATCCGGTGGTAGATTCTGCGAAGCACGGCTCATGCTAGGGATTGTGTTAGCAACATCGTCAGGTTTGAGCCTCGTGAGCTCACCTACTAGTTAAGGTTACGCTGATATGGTCTCTCTAGTAGACCATCAGCTTAGGTAATAAAAAAAAAGGTATTACGAACCAGCGCACTCACTGTTATATTCCTATATTTGATGTACCCATTGCTCCCGTTATGTCATTTACTATAATAAAAATTATCCCATGCCTTCATCCCGATTATAAATTATATCTGTGCGAAATATCATTCAAATCTCTATCTAAACATACACATTCACAATATTATTTAATTATTATTTATACATGATTATCAGGAAAATCCGTTGAATGGCCCTAGGTCCTAATTTTAATCCTTTGGTCCTCAATGACCAAATTGCTTCAGTATGCACAAACGCTAAAACACAATTTGTTTACGGCAAATTGTGAAATTTATAATTCGGGACATCGAGTCGAAACTACCTTCTCTTCGAATAAACATCATTAAGCTCGTGCGGAAATTGATAGCTACCATGCAATTGTGTTCAACATTGTTACATACATTTCAAATGTTTGTTTACGTTTATACTTAGTTTATAGTAAACTAGCTTTTGCCCGCGACTTCGTCCGCGTGGAATTGTTACTTTGGCATAACGCAAAATTTTACCCACCTCTTCATTTGCGTAGAAAGTGAAAATAGTACAATGTTAAGGAGCTATTTAAAGCAACAAAATTATGCTTTTTAACCGACTTCAAAAGAGGAAGTTATCAATTCGACCACAATTTTTTTATCTATGTATGTTCACCGACTTCTCAAGAAAGCTTGAACCGATTCTGATAAAAAAAATCTTTTTTTAAGCGTAGACTTATCGAATGGTCCTGTAATGATCAAGATATAAACAAATTTGGTTACAATAAAAAACGTTAAGGTGAGCCAACCTTAAAATATGTTATCGCGCTATGCTGCCGCGGACTTTTTTGTAGAACCTTTAAAGGGGAACAATTTTGTCATACATTATTTTAGCGAAATTTTAACTGTTTCCGCAGCGCACGCAGCGGAAGCTCTCAAAAGGGAAAAATACACCTACTTAGAAACATTCTTTATTGGTGCTCAGCTTGTATTGGTCTTAGCGTTATATAGCGTATACGCCTTCCTCAATAAATGAGCTATCTGACACGAAATAATTTTTCAAATCGGACCAGTAGTTTCTGAGATTAGCGCGTTCAGACAAACAAACAAACGCTTCAGCTTTATAATATTAGTATATATATCAATATAAAGGTTGTAACTAAAGTATGTAACTAATACGAATGGTTTTCAGAATTATTTTTTATCTATCTCTTTGTGTGCGTAAATCTTTAGAACTAATCAACGATTTTTTGTGATTTTGCTCATTGATTTTTATGTATTTCAGTAAACATAGTTTAATTGGAGCTTCAGAATGCTGTTTCATTTTTTATTTTTTTTTATTGCCTACATTTGTGGACGAGCTCACAGCCCACCTGGTGTTAAGTGGTTACTGGAACCCATAGACATCTACAACGTAAATGCGCCACACACTTTGAGATATAAGTTCTAAGGTCTCAGTATAGTTACAACGGCTGCCCCACCCTTCAAACCGAAACGCATTACTGCTTCACGGCAGAAATAGGCGGGGCGGTGGTACCTACCCGTGCGGACTCACAAGAGGTCCTACCACCAGTAAAAACCGTTGCAATAAAAGTTATCGTCGTTTCCATAATTTCCGATTTTTTTATACTTATCGATTTTAGGAGTTATTGAACTAAAATGATAGTACTAATATTAATTCAATAGATAATTTGAAAAAAAATTCAATAAAAAAATTCTGTTCTAGAAAAAATATAGGCTTCGTCTGATGAGCACAGCTCTCCAGCCAAGCAGTCTAAATTGTACTCCGCACAGACCTAGCTCGAGGCGTGGAGCTAATTTAGAATAAGATAATTACCCCCTATTATAACATTATTACTAATGCTACTTATAAACATACTTTTAGAAAATTCTATAATAGGAGTTAAAGTATGAAATTGCCGTTGTAATACTCGTAGGTACTTCGAATTGACATAAAACCTTCATAGTTTGAGATTTTTGAGTGAAACTTTTTTCAAATGGTACCTATTAGGTTCTTCTTTTAAAAAATGTGACAATTTTCTACGTGATAAAAATTTTTCTTCCTAGGAGGTAGTACAAAATGCTTTCACAAAGTTTGTAGAATCTAGATCACCAGAGTTCTATCGCAAAGGCATAAATGACCTTACTATTAGATGGCAGTAATGTACAGATAATAATGCTAGATATTTTGATTAAATAAATATGTTAAATGAAAAAAAACCCTAATATATCGAACAAATATTTACTGGGTCGTGTTAGTTAAATTTTTAGGTTTGTTGGTGTAATTTAAGTTTTATCTAGATTGCGAACCGGGTCAGCCCGTTGCGTTTATTACTAGATTAACATTTTATTTCATAAATATATTTTTAGTGATATAATTATTTACTTTAAATCGAGGACGCCAAGAATACGCATTTGCAGCTTGTCAATACAACGCTTTGGACTACGGTCCTAATCATTTTGCAAGATTAAATCACATTTAATGGCCCGCGCTTTAGAAAACAAGCGATCCCAATTGAAAAACCACTAAATTACAATAAGCAAGACGATTTACACTTAACACTGACTGACACTTTGGATCTTCTTAACGTGTAGTTGAAACTCCTCATACAAATTCGCAAATCTCAAGATATTGTTAGTTTTTTCTCTGTGCAAAGAAACAAAGATTTTTAATTTTTTATTAATGTGAAGTTAGTATGAGCCCTATATATAAATTCTGACATACAATAACATAGCTGACAGTGACTACCATAGCTGTATTGAAGACGACCAAAATTATTATTCAATTAGCGGGCCCGACAGAAGTTGTCCTGCAAAAATTCATGCAAGTCGATCCGGCCTTTTAGTTGTAGTATAGATAAATAATAATACTGGCTGCAGCGCCATCTGCCGGGCTGATTTGTGTATCAAAACCATCCAGGGTGCCATTCAAATGCATACAAAAAAAATCATTCAAATCGGTCCAGCCGTTTAGGAGGAGTTCAGTGACAAACACACGCACAGAAGAAATATATATAATGTACTAGCTGACCCGGCAGACTTCATAGTGCCTCAATCGATAAATAAAAGACCTAAGCTTTTGTATAAAATAAACTTAAAACAAACAAAAGAAATCCGTCCGACGGGGGACACATCAAAGGAAAAAGTAAATTGTCATCTATATATTAATACGTGAAGCAAAAACTTTGTATCCCTTTTTACGAAAATTGCGCAGACGGAGGAGTATGAAATTTTCCACACTTATAGAAGAATATAGAGAAGGAGTGCACAATACTAATATTTTTTTAAAGTAATGGATAAATAATACATTAAACCAATAAAGAAAACATTACACACACCAACATGTATTTGACACACACACACATTTAAACTATTTTGTTTATTTTTAAAGTCTGTGGTCAAGCTGTGAATAGATTAATATTGTTTTTCTATAATATTATTTGTCTTTATTGTTGCCTTAGCAAAATCTGTGATTATAGAAGTAAAGTCATTTATAATTTAAATTAATAATTATAGTCGAATTTCGACTACCGGGCGACCACTAGTTTTTATTTAATTCCGAGCATTTTCATATTTATCTATCTTTTAAACCTTCTCTGGACTTCCAAAGAAAAATTCAAGACCAAAATTTGTCAAATCGGTCCAGCCGTTCTCGAGTTTTAGCGAGACTAACGAACAGCAATTCATTTTTATATATATAGATTATTTTATTTATATCAAAATACAGTTTAGCTTAGTAAAACTATAGCACAAATTGAGTTGCTCTTATAAAGAGAAACAACATTTAAAGCTATTGCTTCACCGCTGTTTTTATATCTTTTTATATTTTAATATTTCAAAAATGCTTTTATATTTCTCATGTTCCTTCTAATGTTCTAATGTTTCAATATTTGAAATTCTATTCATGTCATCTTTATAACATATTAACATCTTTTAAGATTAATCGTATAGAGATTACATATATCTATCGATAATAAATGAGAGATTAAAATGGTAAAATTACTGTTAATTACTCCAGCGATCTATGAAAACCGAACAAAGTGCGTAATGTGTTGGCAGCATTTACGTTGCGTTATCAAAGTGTGGCAGTAAACGCTTATCATCAGCTGGGCTGTGTAAGAATGCAACAGCCCACGTATGCTAGTAAGAAACAAAATAGCTTTCATCTTGTTTACGCTCATGTTTATCTATGTCAACCGCGAACCTTGGCAAGTCGTTGCAGTCCTGGCACGCGTTACTGACATGTCCAGCCGCTTCGGTTTTGCGTATACAATCCGTAGTATACGACGAATCGCACTTGGTATCCAGTATTGCATATGTCTTAATTATTTTCGTATCGTATTAGTTATTAAAAAACTTCAGACTGAATTGTCTCGGTTTCACAGAAACGGGCGGATAAATAGATTGGTCTTATTTGAAAATTTATAACGTTCGCGTGATTGCAGACTGTAGTATACACATTGAACCGGCTACTAGTATATTTGTAGGTTTCCAGTTATTTATATCATGGAATATAAAAAAAATATTGACTGCGTATAACGATTTATTTTAAAGTAGGCATGTAGAGTGAAGTATGATGAAAATCGTTAAGAGCAGATGTTATTGTTTCGCGTGCCCATTTAAATTATTTTTGTAGCTCATCCGAGGTCCCAGTTCGTATCGCGATTGGCAGATAACATTGCAGAGATTTAAAATGTTCTCTTTTTTTTTGCCCTTGTAGGCAGACGAGCATACGGCCCACCTGATGGTAAGTGGTTACCGTCGCCCGTGGACTTCAGCAATGCTAGGAGCAGAGCCAAGCCGCTGCTTATACATAAATATTTTTATCTGTTATCTAAGAACGAACCTAGCACACTCGAGAAGCTCTTTGTTGGCCGGGAACGTGGCCCCGCCACCGAAGGCGACCAGCGCCAGCAGCGGCATCAGCAACTTCCACATGACGAGCTACGGTCGCTGTCGCCGACGCCGTCCTTCACCTTTGCCGCTTGGAGGCGTCACTGCACTCACTCGCCGCTTGCACATCATCGGCGAAATCAACACGAGCACATCACTTCACTGAGGTCGGCGCACTGCTTCCGTTGGATGATAGCGCAGATCGAGGTCCGAGGATGAGCGAGCGCGGCACGATACTGCGCGGTGTCGGCGGGCGGTTGTCGCGGTCGCGGCGGGCGGGCGCGGTCACGGGCGCAACCTTCGCTTCCGTGCGATCTCACCCCGTGACGCTTCGCGAGAAAAACTACTACAACCAAGCTCGTGCGCCGTCTGCGAACATCCGAACCGATCTCGTGTCTATCCCGAGCTGGGAACGATCATCACGTCACGTACCTCACTATTTATTTATAGCTATTAAATGACAAACGTAATTACTGCCAAACGGTTGATAAAAAATATACTCAGGCCGGAAGGTAGGTAAGTAGTTGAGAGTGACGTGCTCGCGTGACAAGCTAAGGCTGCCGTGCCCAATCATTAGCAACATATTTTGACTTTCGCGAATCAACCCCGAGTGAGTATAACAGAAACGAACAGAACGCTTTAACAAGATCATAATTTGCAAGGCTACCCAGTGAGCATATAAAAAGTTGTTTTGTACATTCCTAATGTGAATTTTCACCTGAATTATCGGTATAGCTATGAATTTTATGCAGAGTTAAAATATTCATGATTTATTTTGAATTAGGTTACGCGCAAGGACGAAATATGTAAGGCGGTTGAAGGTGGCTATCGCTCGCGCTCATCAGGCCGTGAATCGCGTGTAGCCGTCGCGAATTTGCTTAATTTCGTCGGAGCCTCAGTTGAGGTACACCGAAATATTAGTGAGCCTCCTTGTCGGCAAGGGGTGGGACCCAGTACCGTACACACAATTGATTCGATTGACATTCCAAACGAGCAGACTTTATAGAGCCGAAACATACCTTGTATTGATCATACTAAAGGCAACGTTGTTTGCTGATATTTTCGATAGTTGTTAAAGGGTTTACGATCTGCAAGCGGGCTCTACTAAAAATAGCCGAAGGAAATGCAAGCTTGACATGAAAGCGTATTTTAAAGTCGTTTAGGTTTGATTTCGCACGAACATGCAAATTTTAATTTGGTATTTCGTTAATTGAACATGCGATTGTTCGTAAATGAAAGTGTATATACGAAGTGTATATACGTAATTACTGGTGGTAGGACCTTTTGTGAGTCCGCGCGGGTAGGTACCACCACCACCCTGCCTATTTCTGTCGTGAAGCAGTAATGCGTTTCGGTTTGAAGGATGGGGCAGCCGTTGTAACATACTTGAGACCTTAGAACTTATATCTCAAGATGGGTGGCGCATTTGCGTTGTATGCTATGTAACCAATTAAGACCAGGTGGGCTGTGAGCTCGTCCACCCATCTAAGCAATAAAAATATACAAATTTACCGTCCAACTGGGGTTGGTTGCAAGAGATTTTGATAGCTTTAATAGTATTGTAGATAATTTCCCTCGTTGGCTTAGTAGTAAGTGATATTGCTTCTGCTGTTGCATTACAGGGTTCAAGGCCGATTCCTGATCGAAGCTAATATTTTTTTATCTGGTATTCGGGATCCGGGTGTATTGGTTCGTGTCGTCTAGGCGCATTTCTTGAAACCCGCAACACAAAAGGAAAATGCCAAACATAAATTTATTAATTTCTAGTGAAAAACGGTCGCGCTTCGTCTTATCTCTGGCTAATTGTACGTAAAACAAAACATAATATATTATGTTGATTGTACTATGATAGACACAGACACCTTTGGCGGTATCCCAACATCACCTGTACAAAGTTTCATGACAATCGGATGAGTGGCTTAGGAACGCATACAGGAAAAAAAAGCGTACAAACGAAATATTTATTTTTAATTATATACACATGTACATAGATATGGCTCGATTTTTATATGAAGTTGTTCGTTCATCGTTCTAAGTTTCTCACTTGTTTAATATGTATTTTCAGATTATAATTAAAAAAAAAAACAGAAGTTATGTCTTGAAATTGTGACATCACTCGATACGAGTACTTTTTAGTATAAAATTGATACAATTATTGGGACGGAAGTTTCAAAGATTCAAAATTTATTCTTTATACTTATCAATTTTTTACTGGTGGTAGGACCTCTTGTGAGTCCACACGGGTAGGTACCACCACGCTGCCTATTTCTGCCGCGAAGCAGTAATGCGTTTGGGTTTTAAGGGTGGGGTAGCCGTTGTAACTATACTGAGACCTTAGAACTTATATCTCAAGAAGAGTGGCACATTTACGTTGTAGATATCTATAGGCTCCAGTAACCACTTAACACCAGGTGGGCAGTGAGCTCATCCACTCATCTAAGCGATAAAAAAAAGAAATATTAATTTGAAAATTTAAGTAGGTTTGACATGAATTTTATGTTTAGTAGCTATTTATATAATACTCCTAGTTATAGGTAAGTAATTAAGAAAATTCCAACCGATCGTCAGGCAAATTAACGTTCATTCATCAGCAAAAACACAACCGGATATGCTAATGACATCTGTGACGTCACCTCACGATACGTCATACCATAGTTTTATTGTAACGCAATTCAGTGTTAACGTACAGATTATGGGTCGAAACGTGACCTGAAAATATTATGGGCGCGAAACACATACCTGACCTTTTGATCTTTGACCTAGATACTGATATTCGTAATGCAGTATTGTAATGAAGGGTACGGTGATTTTTTTTTGCATAGAAATNACATCTGTGACGTCACCTCACGATACGTCATACCATAGTTTTATTGTAACGCAATTCAGTGTTAACGTACAGATTATGGGTCGAAACGTGACCTGAAAATATTATGGGCGCGAAACACATACCTGACCTTTTGATCTTTGACCTAGATACTGATATTCGTAATGCAGTATTGTAATGAAGGGTACGGTGATTTTTTTTTTGCATAGAAATACAAATGAACTCATAGTCCTTTTAGTGTTATGCGGAACCATATATCCATAGACACTGCAATATATTTATGTAGATACCGCCAATTTTCTATTTTATTTTTTTATTGCCCTTGTAGGCAGACGAGCATACGGCCCACCTGATGGTGAGTGGTTACCGTCGCCCATGGACTTCAGCAATGCCAGGCGCAGAGCCAAGCCGCTGCCTACCGCAAAATATCCTTAGATTTGTTAATTGAGACATTTCTTAATCGAGGCCATTAAATAGGTGACATACTCGCAATGCTTTAATGGTATTTGATTGTTAAATCTTGATTGATTTAGAATTAGGGAGTTAAAAATTTCAAATATCTATTCTGATTGAAAATCTGTAAATCAAAATACACAATAAAAAGAGTTAAACAAAAAGTTTGTTTTACACGTTCAAGAGGCCAAACAACAATGTAAAAATTTAAAAACTTTTCCAGATATGTAATTTTTCGTTGTTGGACGGTCGTTACCGGAAGGCATTCAGTACGAAGGAGTTACTGGTGGTAGGACGTCTTGTGTGACCGCACGGGTAGGTACCACCACCCTGCCTATTTCTGAAGTGAAGCAGTAGGTAATGCGTTTCGGCTTGAAGGGCGGGGCAGCCGTTGTACTGTTAAAAGTGAAACCATACAACTCATGTCTCAAATTGGGTGTCGGCATTTACATTGTAGATATCTATGGGCTCCGATCACCACTTAACATCAGGTGGGACGTGAGCTAGTCTATCCATCTAAGCAATCTATCTATATAATATATATAAAGATGAATTGCTGTTCGTTATTCTCGCTAAAACTCGAGAACGGCTGGACCGATTTGGCTAATTTTGGTCTTGAATTATTTGTGGAAGTCCAGAGAAGGTTTAAAAGGTAAATAAATATAAAAATGCTCGGAATTAAATAAAAATAACAATTTTGTTTTTCCTTTGATGTGTCCCCCGTCGGACGGATTCCTTTTGTTTGTTTTAAGTTTATTTTATACAAAAGCTTAGGTCTTTTATTTATCGATTGAGGCACTACGAAGTCTGCCGGGTCAGCTAATACAAAATAAAAATAAAGAAAAAGTTGGTTACTTACATGCACCCCTATTAATATATTGAAAATAATTAAGCTACTTCTACGGTTCACATTATTTCCGACGTTCCAAATACTTTAGGACATTTAACGCGGTCACATTCGTCCGTGATGCAAGATAAAACAGAAAAAGTTATTAGAATTATGTCTACGACTAACAGAGAAAACCGAAGTAAATACTAAGTGATACATTGATTTCCTAATGTCGAGATTATCAGATAGTTTAAAAAAAAACTAACAAAATACGGTTTTATAGAATATCCAACTAAAATATAGAATATAAATTTTATTAAATTTGAATTAAAAATAGTGTGAGAAAAAATGATTTTATTGTAAAAATCTTGGGGTGGTGGGGTGCTTTTCAGGATATTATCAAAATAACCCTTCTACTCATATCTGTTAATAAAATATAAATGATAACTACTGATACTATGCAGCCCACGCTTTTTTTTGAAGGGGACGTTTTGAAGGGGGTCAAAATCATGTTCAAAAATTGTTTCATACTAACGTACTACTACATACATCTGAAGCTAATAAAAGCGTATTAAAAATCGTAGTCAATTTTTTTATTATACGTTTTGTGCGACGGTCGTATTGAAATCATTCCAAATCATCAATCAATCAAAAGTATTGATATATTAATATATTTTTCATTCAATGACAATGCACCCGCCATCGGAGCAGAGTTCACCCATATTATCTGGAACCGCTGCGTTCATCGACAGTGCGTTTCCAGAGGTATTTTTTGCCACCACCATTTTGGTACCATGTGGTCATGGAATGAACTCCCCTCCACGGTGTTTCCCGAGCGCTATGACATGTTCTTTTTCAAACGAGGCTTCTCAGTGGGTCGCGTTTCTGATCCGGTGGTAGATTCTGCGAAGCACTGCACTTGCTAAGGTCTCTGTTAGCAACACTCCGGTTTGAGCCACGTGAGCTCACCTACACACGTTAGGGTGAAGCTGAAATAGCCTCTCAAGGCTATCAGCATAGGTAGGAAAAAAAAAAGCGAGACTTGTGGAAAGTATTAAGCATTAGGCAGCGGCTTGGCTCTGCTTCTGGCATTGCTGAAGTCCATGGGCGACGGTAACCCCTCACCATCAGGTGGGCCGTATGTTCGTCTCCCTACTAGGGCAATATAAAAAAAATGCTAACTTTTATCGTGCTGCCTTTCGAACTTGGAGTCTATAAAGTAATGTAGATGCGTTTTAAAGGCATGTTAAAGTGCTTCATTTGTCATTTATGCACATGC